CCTCCATAGTATACTCAGGTGACAAATTGATTTGTGCAGAGAGGCACCAAGTTCATGAAGGACATGTGAGAGTCATTCTACAAAACATTTGTGAATATCATCTTTTTGTCAAGCTCGAGAAATGTCCTTTTGACTTAACAGAGATAGAATGTCTAGGATACTCAGTATCCACAGCTCGTATTGCCATGGAATCCAACAAGGTCCAAAGAGTTGGCTCTGCCAAGAAATAAGAAAGATATGCAAGGGTTCTTGGGATTTGCAAATTATAATAAACATATTATAAATTCATTCCCGAAGTCCAGGAAATGTGCTTGGGCATAGTGCTCATTCCCAAACTGCTGCCTGATTTGTTTCAGCAGGTCAACAGATTGTGGTGAACCTCTCTGGGGGGGTATCAAACACACATGATGAGGGGACTCTCCCTTCGTTCATACTCTAGCTTGTGAGACAAGGCATCAGCAAACTTGTAGCTACTGGGAATGTATGTAATCTTGAAGTCAAAGTAAAAGGAGAACAGTGAATTGGCCACTGATTCAGCTTCCTTGCTGTCTGCAGATGCTTCAGTTTGTGGTGGTCTTTCCTCATCTTGAAGAAATAGTGCCCCCCTTCCAACAAGTGTCACCTAGTCTCAAACACCACTTTGATGCAGACTTTGGATACTATCCCAGTTCTTTCCATCCATGACATGACATTGTCAGTCTCCACAACACACTGCTTCCTAAAGAAACTAAGAGCCAATGCTCAGTCTTTCAAACCCAACTCACACAAGCCAAGGAAGTGTACAGACGCTTCACTGACTATTGCTTTTTGGGGGTTTTCCCTTAGTGAATCCATCATCAACCCCATGGCTTTTCTTTTAAAGCTTCTGACAATCCTCAAGATCTATCTTGTGTTCCATTGATTTTTACTGGTTCCAATATCTCCTCCAAGCCATCACCATCAGTCTGCATCTCCAAGATTTCCAGTTCTGGTGCGGAGGGAACTGGAATATGAAGTGGACTGTATTCTGAACTGCCACTGTCAGAGATCTCCATTACTTGATTGGCTGGATGGGTAATGGTCCAGAAGATCACTTCTGGGAAGATGCAAATCAGATCCATGCACTGCACTTCATCCAGCAGTTTCACTGCCATTACCTGCAGAAGGCCGGGGGGATTTTGTTATGGACTCAGATTCCTCAGAGTCAGAACCAGAGATTGAGAGGCCTGTTCCATCAAGTTGTCAGCCTCAGGAATTGTCAGATATCATCACCTGGGGCTGATTCAACAGAAAATCAGTAGGAGCGGGTATGGAAAGAGTCAGGTGATGAAAAGTTCAAGGATGCCTTGGAAGCTTCAGAAAGCCAAGAAGATATGTTCTGCTCAGCAACTTGAGAAGCAAAGGTGTCAATTCCCATAACTGAGCCGTAACTGTATCTAGCTTATGTAAGAGAAGCCATCAACAGCTGACCCTTCACTGGGAATAACTCACCCATCTTGGATCTGTGTTCCTGCTTTGCTTCTTGACTCTCAGCCCTTTGACTGACTGACTAATGTCTTTGGTGTTAGACTCTTGCACTGTTGTAGACTATTTGCGTCTCTGAGCCCTTTGGACTGAACTCTAAGCCACTCAACTTAAATAAACCAATAAACCATTTGTAAATTGAGCAAGTGTTTATGAGCTCAGTCTGAAATAGGACAATATCATCTATACATTTAGTACTGGGCTCCAAAGTATAATAACTTTAAGCCAGCCCTTGTCAGTTAATGACAATAGTTGAGAGCCAAAGCAGGGTAGAGGTTAAAGTGTTGGACCAGGACTAGGGAAACCCAGGTTCAAGTCCATAGAACTTGAAGTGCAACTATGCATGCAACTCTCTCATAACCCAATCTATCTCACAAGATTCTTCTTGTGGAAAAAAAGTGAGAGGGAGA